GCCCAGGAAGAGCAGGGGACTCCGGGCCACTTGGGAGGGGAAGGCCCCATGAGGAATCGAGTGGGCTGTGGTGTTTGGGTCGACGTGGGGTGAGGGCGTGCCGAGGAGCTGAGGGCCTGGGGTGCGTCGTCTGGGGTGTGTGAGTGTGAAATCAGGAGGGAGCAGGAAGCGGTGCTCTCGGACATGTGGGTGCGCTGCTCTTGAGCCTGTAGGAGCACCGTGTGCCCTCACACTCGGACTGGACGCCTGAGCTCCTCCCCAGTCCCTGCTGGGCCACGGTCACTCCCCCTGGACAGCGGGCAGAGGGGCCTGTACTTTCGGTGCTGGGCTGGGACCCAGGAAGGGGTTTTGCTGAAAGGGCAGCAGCCGGGCGAGATCCCTCCCTGATGTGGCGCCCCCTCCCTAGGCACACCGGGCATGGGTCCTGGGTCCTGCCCTGTGCCCGTGGTGGGGCTGGGGGCTAAGGCGCTTTGGGCCTCGGGTGGGAGGCCGGGACAGGGCGGCCCCCTCGAGGCTGGTACAGCCGGGCCCCCGTGACCGCCCAGCTAATCCCTTGGAGAGAGGCAAGGCAGCCCAGACCTGCGGGCACAGGGCCTGCAGAGAGGGGACCCACCGGGCAGGATGCACTGGCTCCCAGCAGGTAACCGGGCCACAGTGGCAGGTGTGCTCTGCATCACCTGACTGGCTGGGGCCTTGGACTCCCAGAGCCGGGGCAGGGGCAGGGCGTGGGCAGGGCAGCATCTGAGGACTCAGCCAGGACCCTTGAGGTTCTGGTACAGGCTCAGCCACTGAGAGCTGTGTGACCCGTCTGTGCCCTTGACGTCTCTGGGCCCCTTCTTCCTCACCTGCAAGCCAGCAGGGCTGGCAGAGTTTTCCGTGGTGCCTTCAGCTCTGGAGGGCGTTCTCTCCCAGCCACAGGAAGGAGGGACATTTTAGAGTAGGGATGGCTGAGCCTGGAGGGGGTGGGTACTGGCCTCTGACTCCAGGGGTGCATGAGGCTTGAGCAAGTGGTCAGCTTGGGCAAGACTGAGGAGAAGAAGCCTTCGGGCAGCTACTAGAAAGGCCACTGAGAGTCTGGTGGGCCTCTACCCAGCCTCCACCACAGCTGGAGGTGGAAGGCTGGGGTCTCACCCATTCTGAACCTGATGGGGACCTAGACTGGTGACCTTCATCCCTGGCCTCATGTCCCCTCCCAGGGGAGATAGGTGGGTTGGACCACAGCAGGCGCTTCCAGTGTGATTTTTCTAGCCATCAAACAGACAAACTTGTGAACTCCTGATAGGACAGATATGGTGGCTATGGGGGGCTGGGCTCTCCACAGCCCCCCAGAGCACCAGGAGCCTGGTAGGAAAGTCGCCCTTCTCCCAGCTGTGGGATGGGTGAGGGCAGGGTGATGGCGCTGGCCGAGGCTTCAAGAGAAGGGAGGTGGCCAGAGTTAGCCAGAGTGAACACCCTGCCCCAGCTCTCTCCTCTGCCACCGGGGTCCTGGAGGAGGGATCGGGTCGGGGACCAGCATCCCATCTTCCAGAGGGCAGGAGGAAGCCCCAGGGAGAAAGCACTTGGCAGCTTGGAAGAGAGGGCCCCACCTGGGCGGGGTCTGGGACTGGGCCAGGGTGTGGACGGGGGCGGGCCTGTGTCCCCGGTGTCCTGTCTGTCTGTGGTGCACCCAGGGAGCAGGTGGAAGGGGAGGCGGCCAGGAGCACGAGTCCTTGACCCTGACTCCCAGGGAGGTGAATGGAGGTGTCTCCTGGGCCCATCCAGAACCGGCCTCCCCCAGGACTCCTGTCCCAGCCCCAGCGCATCGACTGCCAGGCCCACCCCAGGTCCTGAGCCCAGGCGGGAGAGGAAATGGTAGTGGGGGTCTGACTCATCCCATGTCCCCAACACCCAGTGTGGGGCCACACGGCAGGGGCGGGGGGAGGGGGGCGGCGGGGAGCAGGAAGCGTTCTCAGGGTCAATGGAGGCAACAATGGATGTGTGACTGAAGGAGGTGGCGGGGGTGGGGGCGCGCCCCGGGAAGTGCCTATCGGGGAGGGCCTGGCCTGTGCAGGGGCGAGGAGCCGCCCGCTACCAACCCTGAGTCTGGGGCGCTGGACAGGATGCCCTTTGGGGTCTTAGGCAGAGCCAAAGAGGGCATTTGAGGGCAGACTGGCCCCTTCCTTGGCGACCTGGCCCCCCACTTCCCAACTCCAAGGGGTTACAGACTGGAGGGCCCTGGCCGCAGAGGCTGCCGGGTAACAGCCCCACAGGGCTGCTGATTGGCTGCTGCTCTGGACTTTGCTCTCCCTGATAAGGAGCTGGGAGCAGAAATTATTAACTGAATCATTAACCAGGTGGCCCTGCCCTGCCCGGGCAACCTGCCTTCCCTTGCCACCTTCCTCCTCACGGCCTAGCGCCCTCCTCTGGGCCTCAGTTTCCCTCAGCCTGGGATGTGCGGTGGGGCCTCCTCCCCCAGCTCAAGGTCTCCAGACCCTCCTGCTGCCGGGTGGGGGCCGGAGTGGGATGGTGCAGTGGTTCTGTGCGGCTGGGGTGGGCAGCTGGAGACTCCCTGGCTCCGCTGTTTACCCACAGTCCTCTTGGCCACAGCGGTGCGTCTCTCTGTGCCTCCGTTTTCTCGCGTGTGAAATGGGAGCCCAGTTGCGATATGCCTCTCAGGGTTTCGGTGGGGATCAGGTAAGAGGGGGCCAGCATTGACCTCTCCATAAACGTCACCCTCCATGGAGGTGATGGTCTTAGGGGCTCACAACCCTGCTCGGTAGGCCCACGGCAAGTGTCACGCACCCCACCTTGAAGATTATCGGTCTGCAGGTTAAGGGCAGTGCCCCTCAGGGTCCTGCAGCTGGTACTGTGTGCTTTGGAGAGCCCCTTGCCCTCTCTGGGCCACTTACCCCAAGGAGAAGGAACACTACGAGGCTTGCTGGGCACATCCTGGGTGCAGGGCTGGGCCATGCAGCTATGGCCCTGCATGGGCCTGATTCCTGGTCTTGGTCGCTGGTGCCCCCAGCGGGCCCACCCCACCATCCCCCTCGGAGATGTGGAACTTTGGTCCTGCCCGGGCAGGTGTTGGGGAGGGGGCTGGACCATCCTTCAACCTTGTCTACTGTGTCCAGGCCAGAGCCCTTTGCATAAACTGTTTGCCTGGCATCCCTGAGTGCTGGAAGGTGGGTGGCACCCCCTCATTTCTGGGAGGCTGCAGAGGCAGAAGAGGAAGGGGATATGTCAGACTCACTCTGGTTGGCCACAGCAGAGCTGGGATAGGATCCTAGGTCCCTGCTGGGTGCCAGCCTGGGGCAGGCGGGGCAGGGAGGCCTCTCCTGGCTTGTCGGGGTTTCTGATTCAGCACTGATGTCCACACCAGGTGACGTCCTGCCAGCCCCTCAGCCGCTCTAGACCTCAGAACCCTCTCTCAGGGTCAAGGTTGTGGGATGTGAGCAGTGAACCCCAGGCCTGGAGTGGGAGGAAGAGGAAGGGCAGAGCCCCAGGTGGAAGACCGGTCCAGAGCCCCCAGACTGGACAACAGACAGGGGCTTCAGGGCCACATCAGTGAGGGACGTTCCCTCTCTAGCTGACCTGGGTCCCTCCAGCCCCAGAAACGCACAGCCACAGCCTCTGCCTCTCTTCTGGGGAGCTTGGGGACTCTGCATCCCTGGGGGGTCTTCCATCACTGCCCCCTTTGCGCTCTTCTCCATCCCATCCGGGACCTGGGGGGATGGGAATCCCCCTGCCCTGCCAGCTGGGAGGCAAGGGGCACCTGCGTCCATTCAGTGGGGTCTGGCTCAGGCTGGAGCTGATGGAGGGTCTGACAGCAGCCTGCTGGTGAGGGGGATGGAAGGCAGAGGAAGCTCTTGCTGGGGGGGCCCTCAGCCGCGTGTGAAGCTGCGCCATCAGGAGGTGCGGGTAGCCCAGGGTGTGAGCATTTGTGTGCACCTGCATCCTGGTGCCCACGCCTGTGAGGTGCCCGAGATGTGGACATGCATGGGCATGCTGGGACCTCAGGATCTTTGCACTAGCTGTCGCCATTGCCTGGAACCTTCTATGATGTTGTGCGCGTTCCTGCTCTATCTCATCACCAGACTCTGCTCCCTAGAGTGTCAGCGCCACGTGGGCAGGGGTTTTGTCGGTTTTTTTCTGTGCTGTATCCCCAAAGCCTGGTCCCATGCGTACCTGATATGTAATAGGTGCTCAGTAAATGATTGCCGAGGGAGAGAAGGTGCACGTGTGTGTGTGTGTACATGTGTGTGTGTGTATGCACGAGCAGGGCACGGGATGGTACACGATTACGAGCGTGTCTGCAGGCACTTGACTGGGGTGTGCCCTGTGCACATGTGTGTGTGTTGGAGCGTGTCCATGGGGAATGGCCCTGGAGGAGACCTGTCCCACCCCATGCCGCAGTCTCTCCTGGACATCTGAGGCATGTCTGCCCCATCCCCGTGGGAGAGGTGAGAATGGGTTGCAGCCGCTGCCCTCCGTTCCACGGGCCTGGCTTGGGAGTGTCTTGGGGTTGTGAGTCCAGCCTTGTGTTGACCTGGGCACAAGGTGGCAGCTGTGTGGGGTCCTGGGGAGGATGTGGCCATATCCCGCGGTGGGGTGCTGAAGATTCTGGCCCCCTGGAAGAGAGCGGTCTCTGCAGGCCAGCCGTGGGCTCTTCTGCATTTTTTTTTTTTTTTTT